GGGTCGCCGGAATGGTCCCCGGAGCGATAGGGGTGATGCATGTGGGGTGGGTTTATTATATTATATTATATTAGAATATAAAAAAAAAAAAAACCTGATTTTTGAATTTTCAAACTATAAACATGATTTTTGAATTGGTATAAACTAAACACATTATTTATGAATTTTTCCCTTATTTTTAATTCATAAAATTGGCCCATAAAATCTAGCCCACCTCAAAAGTTCACGTCTACTATCTCTAAATTTTAGCTTGCTTAGTTTAAAATCTTAATTCTAGTTTCGGCAAGGGTTAATGTACTTCTCTTGTTTTTATCTGCAAGATGATAATTGTTTTCAATATTATTGTTTCTTAAGATCCAAAACATTTTCTATTATTTTTAATAGGAAAAATAAAGATATTAATAATTAAACCTTTTTATTAAATCAGCTAGGATGGACTCTATTTGACCCACTTTACACAAATGGCATGTGTAAGTTCAATTAAAGCACATAAACAATATTAAAGATTAAGAAAAAATAAAGTTAAAATCTTGTTCATTGTCTTATTTAATATTGTGTATTAAACATATTGTAAAAATCGAAATTTAATAACACACTGTATTTCATTTCAACACTCAAACAATGGGGTGTTGGCTAACTTAGGGAAATAATGACATAATAATCTTTTATTTAGTCGTTCACGTTTCCATGTTTTACCGGTTGTTGAAAGATACAACCTAACAATTTCAAGCTGTAGCCAGAGGGGTAAAAAAAAGAAAAGGGGAAGAAGAAGAAGAAGCTGTTAGTCCAACTGATTAATTCCATCTAAGTCAATCCTTATAAATTACGTGTTTCTAATTCGGGTTGTTGGTTAAATATCTTTTAAGAAAAATAGACTTATATTTTGTGCAAATCCATAGAATGTGATAATCTTAGTATATATTATGTTTCGTATGTAATAATATAAGATACGATTATATGGTAAAACTATAATAGTTAAGATACTAATTTGCATTCACTTAACCTCTAGTTCTCTCTCGACCCAATAAGTGCTTGTCTGTCTCCCGTTTTGGAAGAAGAAATAGAGTTTTGAATAGTATTTTTTGGAGAATGCGTGGTTGAAAAGTAAACTAATTTTATTAGTTTGTGTGTAGAATATTTTATTGAGTGAATATGTGGTGGAGATTGTTTACTGTAACAAACAATGTTTAATAAAATGGATGACAAACAGTGGCTAAAGCTTCAAATTGAAGCCTTTATTTGACTTTTTCCAACAGCATTATATTATTTAAAAATTTAGCCCATGTTTGAGTCCCATTAAAATTCGCATTCTCATTATTCTACTCATTTTCAACAACACATTTTTCAATAAAGTAATATTTTCCATCACATCAATAACTTTTCCTCCTTTTTCAACCACACATTCCCCATCAATCTACTATTCTAAAATGAATAATTCTTTGTGTATTGGAAAATTCTCCACAGGAGTTTTATAGACCCCTCACTGTAGTGCGGGCACCACCCCAATGTATTAATAGAAAAAAATGTGCCCCCCCCCACCCCCACCCCCACCCTCACCCTTTCTTTGTGTCTAGCAAGCCTGTAATGCAAGCCTCTCTATTTCAAAATACGTTCTTCCAAAATAATGTGGGTCAAACACACCCTTAATTGTACAACTTGTCCACTAATATGATAAGACTGGAAAAGGAAGCAAACGATCTACAATTACTGTACAAAACATTATTTTATTGCAAAAGAAAGGTTGTCAAACAGACGTCGAATTTTTTTGGTTCAATATGATTATATGTGGCACATCTAGTAACTCGAGTTTCATTGTTCACCAAATAGTACGTCACCAAGTTGACGCGACTCTATGTGGCATATGTATTTAATGTAATTGAATTTTCTTA